ATCAATTCATTGGATTTTGGACAATTTGCTCACCTAGAACTGTTTTCTGATGAAGTGTTTGTCGAAGAGTTATTTAAAATAAACAAGTTTTATCCATCCAGAGAGGAAAGTGGAAGGTGATTAAATTTTTTACTTTTTTTTTTACTCTCCGCTGCGCTTTGATACTAAGCTCCTCTGGCTGTCAGCAGGTGCTCTCTGGGAAGTAGGTGGGGTGGCTGCGATGATGCAGTTTTCCTGAGGAGGATGGATACAGTCACAAACAGAAAATGCACAAGCAAAAAATGGGCTATGGTGAAATAAAAGAAATAATAAAAAAAACAGAACACTTTTAGCCTGTTTAATAATTTCATCCTGTTAATTGTTAGTCAATTAACTGGTTGTTGTATGGATACAAAATGTACAATTTATATACAATTTGTTATATTTTTCAACCAGAAGTGTTTCTGTTTGCCATTTTGGGTCTAAATAGTCATTAACATTGAGTTTACCCGTGTAGCAGTGGTCAGCACTCCCATCCAGCAGTGTGTCCATGTCATCTGAAAAATGACACGTAACACAATCATGCAGGAACAACTGCAGGCACATGACGGGCAATTTGTTGTTTGCTTGTGTCTTGTTCCACTTCTGTTAGGAGTTATGTTTTTTTTCATTTGTATTATAAGTTGTTTGTTTAAATTCTGATTCGATTCTTAATCTGAATTGTCTTGTTTTCATTTGAACTTTTGCTCGTAGTCATTCCTTGTTTGTTTGTTTTTTACTCACATTTATTTGTCTATGATTTATTCATTTTACTGTTCTGTTTTATTCTTTCATCTTCCCGGCTGCTAGTTATTTTTTTCACTTTGAATTTTTTTTCTACCTATCATTCAGAATTCTCAGGTTAATTTGTTTCTTGCTCTCTTTTTTATTGTCCTCTTTGGTATCTGGCTGTGAGGTTATGCTTTGTATTGTGTTTTAGATTTTTCTTCTAGTCTTTACATCTAGGTGTCATCAGCTCCCCTGTTTTTGGGCCCAAAGTGTACTGTGCAACCAGTTCTAACTTAATCAAGCACAGCTTCATCCTCTTCCTCATTTGTTCACCCCAGTGCTGCTTTGTTAAGCTTCACCGTTTAGAGCCTTCCTGTTTTTCTCTGTGATCTGTTCTCTGGCCAGCTGTTTGGCTTGCCTTTTGGCTTGTATTGTATTTGTTTTTTGTCTTAAAACTGTGTTTTCTCTTGTGTTTTTTCTGGCTCTGCTGCATCTTTGGTCCTGTCCACCCCCAGTTTGCTGGTCTGCATTTGGGTCTTCTTGTCCACCACTACCAACTGTGACACTGTACGAGGCACGAGCGAGGCCCTGTAATATGCTGTGACTTGAATAAATTCTACTGCAGACATGTTTGAGGTTTCAGTTTGGGTTAGAATCAGTAAAGGAGTAAACAAGTTCACATTTAAGTCCATATGTACTCAGAGAAACACGTCTATGTGTAAAAATAGTATTTTAAGGTGTTGGAATGAGGACATCTTTAAAAAGTGAGGATTGTTTGATCAGTGATAGCTCTTTCATGCTCCTTTAAGGTTTTGTTTTGGGGCATTTAGAGTTGGATTTAATGTTGCAGCTAGACCTGAGGTAAGGCTTTCGCAATCGGTTCTGAGAGCATAAGCTTAAGAGTGTGTTACAGTGTCATTCTATCAGTGATCCAATATGTGTGTGTGTATATGTGCGCGTGTGTGTCCTTACTCTGATTTTCATCTTCTTGAATTGGTGAAAGTCCTGTTCAATGAAAAAAAATAAAGGTACTATCAAAGGACTGAAACAGCACATCGATTTTATGCTTTGTTTTATGAAACTCACCTGACAAGGTGTAATGTCTCTGTGATTTGAGGGCTGTGCCTGTTGGAGAATCACTTTATTTAGAATTTAAGTGCATCCACTGAATCAGAATATAAGCATTATTGCTGTACAGTTTACCTTTAGGAGTGACGCCGTCCATTTGCTTTTCGTGGTCTGGATGGAAAATCATTAGAAAGACTGGTTATTTCACAAAAGGTTGACATATTTCTTTAATATAAAATTGACGATCTTATGGAAAGTTATATCTGTGTGCTTTTGTTTAACTGACATGAGGATAAGAATTTTAGTGATCTGGATCATTGTGAGAGATATTTTTATTCAATTTGTGTAACTAATTTTGGTGGATGTCACAGAATTTTCGACAAGCACATGTCTGGCTTTCTTTCATAATGTTGCATTGATGTTTGATATATTTTTCATTCTGTTTTATTGTGTTCTTGACAAAAAACATTTGTCATTTTTAAAATGTAATTTGGTACTTTTTATGATAGTAGTATTTAATCTACTGTCTTTTTCATTTTCATAGTTATAAATCTTTTATTCTTAACGTCACCGTGCTGTCATTTTAAATATGATTTTAACTTTATTCATATTCAGAGACAAATTAACTCTACTAAATCTATCTGGATGATAGATCATTTATTCTTCTTACAATTTGCATGGTCTGGCCGCAATAATCCCTTAAAACAATTTCAAAAATATTTGAATGGCACTAAAACAACATTTGATAAATGTTTGTGTTTTCTGAAAGTACAGTTTCTCATGGGAGGTGTTGTTCAATTGGGTAACATGTTTTTGTTCCATTTATAGAGTGGGTGGAGCTCTTGCTATATGAGTCAGGGGGAAAAAAACAGTGAGAAGTTATGAGTATCTGTTTTCATGTACACGAAGCAGCTTAGACAGAACACAATCAATCAAATTCAATTTCCTAAACCTAATCAGATATGCCTTATTTCCCCCAAAATAACCAAAAGACAAATAACTAAAAGGATGCATTGGAACAAAAATAAGGTTTCATGTAAAGTACATATAGGAATTGATGTGTCAGCCAGTATTAAACTTAGATCTCTGGTTCGAAATCAGTCTGTCACTCTGACCGCAAACCCATTTAACCTCACCATGTGGACTGGTTCATCTGTGAGCTTTAATTTTGTGAGCATAATTCAGGAGTTGGAGCACAAATCAACAGATAAAGTGGTGTTTCTTTCTAGACCCAGGAAAAATTTAACATATATGGTGCAAGAAATGGTGGATAGTCTGAATCCTGGTTGGTCAGCCATAAATTAATCAAAAGATAACTGTTGTTCATCACTGATTCCTTTTTGTAGATTGGTATTGTGTAACTTTTTTCTTTTCTTTTTCTTTTGTAGCTGTGATTGCAAGCACCAGTTTTCCTCAGATTGCCCACTGACGAGCAAAGCAGGTGTTTGCACCTGAATTTCTAAGACAGGGATGTTCAGTATGAAATAGAAATACTCTGCAAGCTTGAAGGCAGAATGCCCGATGTGGAAAGGAAAGGAAAGCATAAGAAATGGGAGGTAGAAAAGGGAGTTCAGCAACAGAAAGCACCCTGTTTCTTATTTACCGTTTAACTCCTGCCCTTTTAAGTTGTGATCAGTTGGGCGTGTCTTCGGCTTTGTTGAGGGTTCTGGGAAAAAGAACCCACAAATCAATAAACATCTTCACATCACCTTTAAAACATCAAGCCAGTTCAGTGAACCAGAAGTGTGTACTTTTTGTGAGTCTTACCACGCAAGAGCTTTTTCCAGAATATCTCTCTGATCACGGTCGTGGCAACAACCAGAAACACCACACACAGTAGAGCCAGCCAGATCACCCTTATGACACACTGCCACTCATCTGGAAGTCAGACATGTATTTAGACATATACAGAGATTCTGGCCTGTTAGCTAGCATCCAGTCATCTAATGAAAAGCCTCACTGTTTCCTAGATACGCTACAAAGAAATAAAGCCTTGTGGAGGAGAAATGTATCTGAAATTAAGGCTCAAACTGGAAGCAAATGGAAGCAAAACAGAAAAGGGAAGGGGAAGATTTTGGGGATATGGAACATTAGGATTGTGGGAATATGCACACATACACACACACACAGACACATGGATATCCAGCTTTATCATGCCCGCTGCAAATATGAAACACTTTTAGCCTGAAGAAGAGGAGGAGTGCTAGGGAGCAGAACAGAAAGAAAAAAAGAGGAAAAACAACACTGGAGATGTAAAAATTGAGTCACACTGTGTCTGTGGAGAGATCCTTCAGTAAAAAGGAAGAGCAAGAAACAAAGTCGCCACTGAGATTGGAGTCAGGAGAGGGA